TTATCCAATATAAAATATATTTTATTTTTATAAAATAATTAGTGTAAAAAAGTGAACCAAGTGCATCAATTTAATTAAAAAATATATAAATTAATTAGTGCAACACACTGTGTACTGTGAATCACTCTTCCAGTGCTCCAAAAACAAATCCACACTGTGCCACTTCTATTATAGTAAGGAATATATACCCTTACCAACACTCCTCCAAAAACCTGCTTTCAATAATTATCCTATGGATGAGATCCTCCTAAAGTGCTCCCCCAGATTCCACTGTATTCAGGGCACTATTCCAGCAGGATTTTCCATATCTCCATATCAATGGCACCATATAGAAAGCATATGAGGGACAAATAGTGTAATACCGCCAAAGTAAAGTACAGAAAAGCTTTATTAAAAACTGCTCACATTTCAAAAGATTTAAAACCGCTTTTAAATACCGTAGAAAACCGCCAAGCTACCATCCAGGGAACATCCAGGGACCGACACACAGTCTTTATCCTCTTTTCCCTGAGGACCTGATCATGAGGACTGAGACTTCTGGCACAGATGACCACCAAGCGGTTGGGACTGAACCTGTTGCATGCCAGGAGTGGTGAGCAGAACTACAAAGCTTAATCTTTTACTGCCCACAGTTAATTCAATAGAGACTGCTCTTTACTTAGCAGTCCATTAGCCATCCATTCCATACTCTTATTGGGACATCTTTATGTGCAATACCCTAGGGTATTGCACATAAAGATGTCCCAATAAGAGTATGGAATGGATGGCTAATGGACTGCTAAGTAAAGAGCAGTCTCTATTGAATTAACTGTGGGCAGTAAAAGATTAAGCTTTGTAGTTCTGCTCACCACTCCTGGCATGCAACAGGTTCAGTCCCAACCGCTTGGTGGTCATCTGTGCCAGAAGTCTCAGTCCTCATGATCAGGTCCTCAGGGAAAAGAGGATAAAGACTGTGTGTCGGTCCCTGGATGTTCCCTGGATGGTAGCTTGGCGGTTTTCTACGGTATTTAAAGCGGTTTTAAATCTTTTGAAATGTGAGCAGTTTTAATAAAGCTTTTCTGTACTTTACTTTGGCGGTATTACACTATTTGTCCCTCATATGCTTTCTATATGGTGCCATTGATATGGAGATATGGAAAATCCTGCTGGAATAGTGCCCTGAATACAGTGGAATCTGGGGGAGCACTTTAGGAGGATCTCATCCATAGGATAATTATTTGAAAGCAGGTTTTTGGAGGAGTGTTTGGTAAGGGTATATATTCCTTACTATAATAGAAGTGGCACAGTGTGGATTTGTTTTTGGAGCACTGGAAGAGTGATTCACAGTACACAGTGTGTTGCACTAATTAATTTATATATTTTTTAATTAATTAAATTGATGCACTTGGTTCACTTTTTTACACTAATTATTTTATACAAATAAAATATATTTTATATTGGATAATCACCAGAGTGTCGTCACGAATATTTTATTATATTATAAAGATAATGCGCTATGTGATATTTTCTTTTGTTTGAGGTTTATCGTGAGAAAGGAAGGATTGAAAAGGATTTCCCAGTTTCATTTTTATACTTATATTTTTTGGAATTTGTTTGAACTTATATTAAATTTTGTTTGGACTTTTTTTCTGGGACTTTTTCTTACTTTTTTGAATTATTATATATTTTTTGAATTGAATTTCTTTTTGAATATTGATATATAGTTACTTTATGAGGTGAATTGTACAAGCATTCATTTATTTATGCAATTTTGGCACATTTTCATATTGTTGACATATCAGACTGGATGTCGCTCCCATTTCCTCAAATTGAACCTTTCCAAAACCGAGCTCCTGATTTTCGCCCCCGCCCTCTCCAACAACGCCACCATCAGTCCCATCCCACAAGCCAAAGTCCTAGGTGTCACTCTAGACTCAAACCTGTCCTTCCAACCCCATGTCCAATCGTTGGCAAACTCATGCAGGCTCCACCTCCGCAACATCTCCAAAATACGTGCGTTCCTAACCCCAGACACTACTAAACAACTCGTTCACTCCCTTATTATCTCACGTCTGGACTACTGCAACTCCCTTCTCACCGGCCTACCTCATCGCAGACTATCCCCACTTCAGTCTATCCTGAACTCAGCAGCCAGACTCATCCACCTTACCAACCGCTCCGCTTCTTCCACCCCCCTCTGTCATTCCCTCCACTGGCTCCTGATTGCCCAACGCATTCAATTTAAACTAGTAACACAGACATACAAAAAGCCATTCATAACGCTGCCCCAAACTACCTCACCGACCTGATACCCAAATGCCACCCAACCCGTAATCTTCGCTCCTCACAAGACCTCCTACTTTTTAGATCCCTGGTCTCCACCTCCCACGCCTGTCTGCAGGACTTCTCCAGGACTTCCCCCCATCCTCTGGAACTCACTACCCCAATCCATCAGACTGTCACCTACCCTCCTCACCTTTAGGCACTCCCGGAAAACCCATCTCTTCAGGAAGCCTACCCCACCCTCACCTAACAGCCGATCGCCTTCCACTCCTCCTACCACTCCATCCCCCACAGCCACTTCCTCCTGTACCACTATCCCCTCCCTCCTAGATTGTAAGCTCGAAAGAGCAGGGCCCTTGACCCCCTCGTGTTTTTTTTTTTGTTACTATATTGTCTCATGTTCTGCCCCCCACTATAATTTACAACGCTGAGCAAACCTTTTAGCGCTATATAAATACTGTATAATAATAATAATATAATAATACAAACTATTTTTGTGACAATTTAATATAAGCTTACTTGAGAAGCACTCTCAAAATGAAAGGAGCTTTTCTGTTTGCTGACCTTCTCTTTAATTACTTGCTGTCAGGGGCAGTTATTTAATTTTTCTCACATTTTGTTGCTAGAAAATTACTTAGAACCCACAAACAAACATATATGTTATGAAAGCAGAGGCCCTGTCTAAGAAGTGGCGGTTCACATATATGTGGATTGGATGCAGTTTGAACCACATTGCTGCATCACCGTTTGTCCTGTGGTATTCCAGGGTTGGGCTCTGAGGATTGGGGATGACGTATGAGAATTTCCCATTAAAATACTGGTGTCCCTGAGAGACTGCCTCATACAATTTCAGATTTTTCATAAGGCTTACCAAACCCCTCACAGATTGTAAAAAATGAGTCCCTCTTCTTCTCCGGAGTGCTAGTGTTGTGGCGCCACTCCCGGCAACTTTATGCATATTTTCTGGACCTGCCCAGCAGTTGCTACCTTCTGGATGCAGATAATGACTATTGTTAACCTTGCGGTGGTTATTCCTTTAACCCCATCCCCCCGAGTCTGCTTGTTAGGTTTGGTGGACAATATAGTTTCTGGGGTGGCGGACAGGATGTAGTGGGTCTTTTATTATTTTACGGCAGAAAAGCCATTACTCTGTGCTGGAAAATGCGGGCCCTCACATTCTGGAAACAGCAGGTTAATGCCACTTTACCTTTTGTACAAAGATACTGATCTGCATAGAGGGTGTCCTAAAAAATACGATAGTCTGGGCGAAATGGTTGGCAGAACCCTTTCTGGTAGTTTGGGGGGGGGGGCGTGTCTCAGGTACTGGGGACGTCATGTCTTATTATCCTAATTTGGTCACAACGAGCAGCATTTGTCTTGTGTTTCCTATTGTTTTACAATATGTTAGTTATGTTTGCAGGCTGAAACTCTGTTCGACAACCTTTCATGCTTTTCACTGAGATGCCCCTGCGTGGGTTTAGTGCCTGAAGCTGTACATGTTCTTTTTCTTGTTCAAAACACTAATATAAAGAATTCAAAAAAATGAAAATCCTGACCTGAACCGCTGAACAACTACTGTGTCAATTAGCTGTGAAACCTGAGCTTCAATCTGCACTGCACGTGTGAATCAGCTCTGAAATGTTGCTTTTGCGGTTTGTCACACGATGTTTACGCAGCTATACGCAAATTAAAAAAATAAAAAGTACAAATGAATTTTGCTGCACACGAACACAATATAATTCCCAATTTGAGAGTGGGCAAGTCTGGAGCATGTTACACCTTAAATATGGGTGTAACATGCTCCAAAATGTGAACCTGTTCTTCAAACAATGTATCATTTGATCAGTAAATTTCCAATGGCTTGCATAGTGGTACTATTTACCAGTTATTTCACTGGGAGATGAGCCTATCGGGTAAGAGACGAGAGAAATGTGTAAAAGTTATGACAAGCCAAAATATTAAAGCAAACAGATGGCCAAGAGGGCCTTTTATTTAGGGGCTAAACTTGATTTGAAGTTGTTCTGTTCATAATAATACTTATTTGAAAGTGTTGACAATTGACCATGCTTGTTTTCATTGATGCACAAAATGTCATCAAGAATTTACATGTACTTTAAAGGCAATTACAAAAAAAAAAAAAAAGCTTTTTACTTACCTGCTTTTGTGCAGTGCTTTTGCACAGAGCAGCCTCGATACTCTTCTTCATGGGTCCCCCGCGGCCCCTCCCTTTTGCCGAGTGCCCCCCGAGCAAGCAGCCTGCTCTGTGGGGCACCTAAGCAGGCTTGCTCCCAAGCTACTGCTCCGCATATCCATTCACTCACATTTATATCCATTTACTTGGCGTGGCCAACCCATACCCCCCCCCCACCACCATTAATTCACTACATGTGATTAACAGGAGGGGGGGGGACAGTCCCTGGAGAGCCGAGGCTCTTGTGCACATCGCTGGACCTCAGCAGTGTTGCTCAGGTAAATATAAGGGGGGTGGGGGTGCTGCAGCACACAAGTTTTTTTTTTTTTTTTTTTTTTTTTACCCTCATGCATAAAATGCATGATGGTAAATAAAACCTTGAGCCTTTACAACCACTTTAAATATTACTATTCCTCTGCCCCTCCTTTATCAAAATGTCCACCAAAAAGTGGAGTGTTGTGCTTATTATTACTATATTAATTACTTTGTGTTTTTTTTTTTTTTTTAATATGCTTTAAACGCAAGTTTTTTTCTTTTCCAATATTAGGTATGCCAGTGTATCATGTGAGATATTGACAGCAGACGTATCACAGATTAATGATGCATTAGGGGAAGATGAGTCTTTACTGAAGCAGTTGTATGGCTTTCTGCAGAATGATGAAGACTTGAATCCTTTGCTAGCTAGCTTCTTCAGCAAAGTGATGGGAATACTAATTAACCGCAAGACAGAACAGGTAATTTTTAAAACCTTTCTACAGATTTTCAAGCTAAGCACTGTGAGGAGCATTGCATAAAGTAAGTCCATTTCTCACCCAGAGCCTGTTCATTGCCGCTTAACAAAGTATGAAAAAGGTTTTTCTTTTTCTAGCAAGGCCCTTGTGCAGTCCTGTTATGTTGACCTTTTCCACTACTGCTGTTAATTTTCCTATAGTTTTTCATGTGTTGCAGTGTTGATGTATTTTGTACAAGTGCTTTTTCTCTGGGTTTACCAGATTGAAATTTAATTATATGCAATAAAACAAATGTATCCTGCATTTACATGCAGTACCGTTCATCTAATGTAAGATGCACTGTAAAAAGTGCACACATAAAGTGTAGCAAGTGGGAATTTTAAATTTTGTAGTGCAGAAAACATAAAATAATAGTACTGAACCCTCCATGTTCTTTAGGTGCAGTTTTAGGATGTAGGAAATATGGTTTAAATTGAAGATGAAGTGTCTTCATATATTAAGTAAAAATGGTTGTCCTTTCTAATGGAAAAAAAAGTGGTGATTTTGATGGCACAATGCCCTTCAGTAGAAGTTCTCAGCAAAGCAAACACTTGTACTCCACATTCTACAGTAGCTGATTAACTCTCGCACGTTGAATATTTTTCTTGGTGAATTATGTTTTATGATCTTTTGATTTGCGTTTTTTACAGATTGTTGCATTTCTTCGAAAAAAAGATGACTTTGTGAACTTACTTCTTCGGCATATTGGCACATCTGCAATTATGGATCTGCTATTACGGCTTTTGACATGTGTCGAACAACCTCAGCTTAGGCAGGATGTCTTCAATGTGAGTGAGCTTTAAAAGGAAACTTATATTGTTGCTGTGTGTTTAAATCATGTAATAAGTTTATTTCGTCCTTTTATGTTTTTTAAATTGTAGCATAATGCACAAATGCTGTGAGGATAGCAGTTTCTTAAAAAAACAAAAAACTTAATTGTACAGTACAGCACACAGGTTAAGTATTCTTAGATCCTTGTTTATAACTGTGTACCTTCAGTGATTGGACACTGGCAAAGCTTTTGAGCATATGCTCCCCTATAACCCTTCTCCACTCTGTGAGTACTCTCAGTTTTTTGCTAGTGTCCTAAGATGATGGACCTCTTCTCCCTTACAGAGATATCACTCTGCTAAACTGGTTTATTATGTTATCTTCAGATCTTCCAATCAACTCTTTGCTGTCTTCTAATACAACAATAAACTTAGCGCATGCGGATAGGTGCTACCTTGGTAAAACCTTGGGATCTGTATGCAGACCCCACACTGTGGGGTTGGCCTGTAATGTTGCTTGCTTCTGATATTTTATCCTATCTGGGCACTCATCTTGGCCCTTAGAGCAATGTGTGTACTCAGCTGTAGGGTGCTATACAGGTCTGGGACCATTGTCCATCACTATGGATCCCAGCCCCTGACGATCCCTTCAGGGGTATGCCCGCCATGATAGGCGAAACTCCGACCCTGTATAGGAACCAGCATCCTGGACAGGTAAGATGGGGTTACCCCGTATCTCTGATTTTTTACTGTTAAAAAAAAGACTTGTTTGTAATGTATTTATTTCCCACTGCAAGCTTTTTGGACTTGGCACTAAAACTCCAACATTTAGAATATAGTCTCAGGTGGAAGAGCAGATGTTGCATCACAACATGGGTTACACAGTTTACAGCAACATCTGCCTAGAACCCATATAAGTAACTCAGGTGCTCCCCCGCCCCTTTCGCTATGAAGATTTGCCATACTGGGAGGTGGCACCAGAGTAGGACCTATTACAAAATACAGGTGTGTGTAACTTGCGAGCCAAACAAAAAAAACTTTAGGGATCGCTAACAATTAACACATACTCCAACTGTGCAATTTAAACCATATATCTATAAATGTTGCGCTGCTATTATCCAACTATATAAAGTGTGTGAAATATACAGACAAAAATTTTTTAACATATCAATAAAGTGATCATAATAAAAAACAAAAATAAATCCGTTTTATCCAAAAAAAAAGGCCAAATTTGTGATAAAGTGATTAAAACATAATACAGTGACTTTCTGTGAAACCTTCAGTGAAATTAAATGTGCGCTCAACTCCTTCTAAGCCTATTATACAAGCTTAATAAACTTTTGGTTCACATATCCTGGAACCTACTAAAATAGTATTGATGGATGTTGGGAACTTCTTGCAAACACCTTTCCCCTTTAAACTCTTATATCCCTGCAGGGATTTCTCCCTCCTTCAGCAAGTTGGTGAGTTTGGAGAGCAATTACAAAATACAGGTGTGTGTAACTTGCAAGCCAAACAAAAAAACCTTAAGATCACTAACAATTAACACATACTCCAACTTGTGCAATTTAAACCATATATCTATAAAAGTTGCGCTCCTATTATCCAACTATAAAAGTGTTAAAATATACTATTATATATACAAAACTGACAAAAAATTTTCAATATATCAAAGTGATCATAATAAAAAACAAAAAAAATCTATTATCCAAAAAAAGTCCAAATTTGTGATAAAGTGATTAAAAACATAATACAGTGACTTTCCGTGAATCCTTCAGTGAAAATAGATGTGCGCTCACCTCCTTCTAAGCCTATTATACAGGCTTAATAAGCTTTTGGTTCACATATCCTGGAACCTACTAGGATTGCTTAAGATTTGTGGACCTAAAAATAAAGTCTGTTTTAAGGATAAAGCACTATGTTCCTATTGTCTCCTTCCACACTGAGGAACGTATAAGGAGGAATGTGCTTTTGATTCAAAGCAGCTGAAGGAGGGAGAAATCCTTGCAGAGATATACAGTGTTTAAAGGGGAAAGGTGTTTGCAAGAAGTACCCAACATCCATCATATACTGCAGCAATCCTAGTAGGTTCCAGGATATGTGAACCAAAAGCTTATTAAGCCTGTATAATAGGCTTAGAAGGAGGTGAGCGCACATCTATTTTCACTGAAGGATTCACGGAAAGTCACTGTATTATGTTTTAATCACTTTATCACAAATTTGGACTTTGGGCTATGGGGTAGAGTAGCAGGATGGAAGCCTTCTGTGCTAGAAAGCTGAACATGAAGAGGAACTTCATATTTCAGCATGACAACAACCCAAAGCATACATCCAAATCAACAAAGGAATGACTTCACCATTCCAAAAAATTAAAGTTTTGGAATGGCCCAGACCTGAATCTGATTGAAAATCTGTGGGGTGATATGAAGAGGGCTGTGCACAGGAGATCTGACAGATGTGGAGTGTTTTTTGCAAGGAAGAGTGGGCAAATATTGCCAAGTCAAGATGTGCCATGCTGATAGACTCATACCCAAAAAGACGGAGTGCTGTAATAAAATCAAAAGGTGCTTCAACAAACTATTAGTTTAAGGGTGTGCACACTTATGCAACCATATTATTTTAGTTTTTTTATCTTTACATTCCTCCACCTAAAAGATTTCAGTTTGTTTTTTTCAACTGAGTTGTACAGTTTATAGGTTACAGTAAAGATGGAAAAAGTTCTGAAATTATTTCTGTCTCATTTTTTTTACATCAGAGACCTGTAGACTTTTTATATCCACTGTATATGAAACAGGTTAATGAATCTCACTCAAGATCTTGAGGGAGAGGCCTCCTGATCCACTTTAATAATTCTTTAGAGCCCCTTAATATCAATGCATTTCCATAAAAAAAATAAAATAAAATAAAAAAACATGCAGTATGTTAGACTTTGGAACTCCTTTAATGCAGTCATATTAAACATGCATTTTTACACCTTTTATACTTTTGCATTAAGAAGCCTAATTATATTGATTGGGCCACAGCACACCTAAAACTGCGCATACCAGCTTTTTTTTTAATACAGTGCACCACAACGCAGTGTGCAGGGCTATGCTGGGTGCTGTCCAAAATGAATGGCACTGTAAAACGCCACACTGTGTGGTAATTCATTTGAAAAATCTATGTAGGTTCAAATACATGGCAAGGTAAAGCAACTATTTTCTTCTAAATACAATTCAGTGTTTCATAAATTATCCAAATGAGGAAATAAAAGAAATGGCAAAAACCATAATTGCCTTTTATAAAATGACCGCTAAAGCTCACAATTTAAAGGTAGATGAATGCTACTTTATTATCCTTTGTTTAATCTATAACTGAATATTGTGCATTAAATAAAGGGTGTTGCGTTACATACTCCAAACAAAGCAATCTAGTGTCTACACCTGTGCATTTCATTTTCCGTCATAGCTGCTTTTTTAGTTATTCCCACTTTTTCTATTTTTTTATTTTATTTACATAGAGAATACATCATTATAAGTTAAACATAATGGCGCAAGGGGAATAATGGTGGAACCTGCTGCTACAATATTTTGTCAGACTTGTAGACACTCCAGGGTCTCTCTAGTACTATTTTGATATCTCTGTTGTCATTAATTAGTGCTGCAATCGTTAAACATAATTACTTAATTGTATTGCATATCTCTGTGCAGTTTTTTGGATTTAATGCTATTCATTAAGTCTAAACAAGCCTGTGTAAATTAGCTTAGCATGCAGCTAATGGCCACGCCCATCTGAGTTTAGAGGTTTCCTTTGAGTGTTAAAAGGTATATATTCAAAGGCCTAAAATGAATTAGTTAACCAGATTCTTGCTTTACAACTCTACTCTTAGCTCAACTAGTATTTTGATTACTTTTTTATTTTTTTGTTCCTTTTTACTGTTTTCCTAGTATAAAACATACTGCCAGTGCTTGAGTGTCAAAGGATATAGGCAAGGCAAAAAAAACTTTTCTTACAAAAGTTTGGTTCCTGTTAAGTCATAGACTCAATTACAGCCTTGCAGCTCCCTTCAGACTAGGGAGATCTTCAAACTGTAATAAAATCACAAAAAGATCACACTGACTTCCTGCATCACCTTTGGAACCACTTTATGTAAAAACGCAATAAAATACACACAATAGTGTCAAAATAACAGACATGTAATCATCCAGCACATTAAGGGTCCGTGCACACTTAAAAAAAAAACCAAAAAAAAAACACCCGTGCTCTTGGCAGAAAAAAAAGCTATATTTGAGCTTTTTAGTACGAGCAGTTAGCGTTTTTTTTTTTTGTGTCCTGCCAGAAAGCCGCTCTCAAAAATGCAAAACAAAAGGGTGTTTTTTTTTTTTTTCTGCCTCCAAATGCTGAGCTTAACCACTTAAGAGCTGCCCCATAGCAGATATACTGCTATAGAGCAGCTTTGCTGCGCAAAAGCACATAGATACGCGATTTTGCATTGCTGAGTAGGGGGCATGCAGATAAACACAGATCTCTCCCCTGTCACCATGGACATGCTGCTTTATCTCTCTGCACAGCAGAGAGAGATAAAGCAGCACATCTTCCAAAGAAAAGGACAACATCATAAGCACACACTGTATTAGTGTCATTGGAGATGTCAGTGGCAGTTCCCACCCAGTATCAGAATGCCCACCGCAGTCCTAGAAGTCACTGATCCTCATCAATATAATAAAAATAAAAATTCCAGTATATATACCACCATTTGTAGACTTTTTCACGTAAACCAATTAATATACACTTATTGGAATTTTTTTTAGCAAAGACAAGTAGCAGAATACATTTTGGCCTACATTTATGAAGAAATTTTTTTATTGGATATGTTTTATAGCAAAAAGTCAAAAATATTGTTTTTTTTTTCAAAATTGTCAGTCTTTTTTTGTTCATAGCGCAAAAAATGAAAAACGTAGAGGTGATCAAATACCGCCAAAAGAAAGCTCTATTTGTGGGGGGAAAAGAACATTTGGGTGCAGCATTGCATGACCGTT